AAGCTGTCTGCAAAGCTGTGATACTACTTGTTGATGTTGGTGACCTTGCTCTCAGTAAGCAGCATTTGTCCCTAGCTTGCACGTACTAAGTGGTTGTTCAACTGTCTATCATGCAGGTGGACCTTCATTCTGGTGACGGTTTACTTCGGGGTAAGCGAAAATAGTCTGTCTCCTCACTGATTTCCTCATACACAATGATGAGTGTCCCTACGGCCTCTATCAATGTCCTCACAATCCTTATCTGAAAACACTATATGCTGTTATGTGAATTCTTCAGCTTGCGACGACGCTTTCGATCTACGGGTGCAGCAAGTTCGCCGCCTGCAATGCCGTCGCGGCGATGTCCGACGCCGAGCAGGGGCCCTACGCCATCCACGGGGCCGCCCCGAAGTCGATCGTCGACGGGGAGGACAACGGCACGAGGGAGATCGCCGGGTTCTGGGGGTACCTTCTGCAGATCATCTATCAGGTGAAAGAGGTTTTTTCATGCCACCACCTATAAACTTTGAAATGTTTGGCCAACATGGAGCCCGTTTCCAGATTTCATTCATATTGGAGAGGGACATCTGCACTGACATCACGTCTTCATTGCATATTCATTTGCATTTGCATGGAGGGGTGGTCTCGTTTTTCTTTTCAGGTGCAATTATTAGTGCTCCTGGGCAGTTTTAACATCATGCACCAGAAACTAAAGTGTGTTTATAATGTGCTCTGCTGAATTGGATTCCTGTGCATCAAAGATGAGGATGTGACCACATACTAGCATCTTTGTCTGGCAGATCCTACATGAGCCACCATCTTCTTGGTTGTTGGGCTGGACCCAAATGCCCAATCTCTTAGTAGTTCCTTGCACCTGAAGGCCTTGCTTGATCAACTTTCTTTACCCCATATCTCAAGTGCAGGGCTGGCTTTTCTTAGCAGTAGCATCAGGAATAAAGACAAATTATTTGTTTATTTATCTCTGTTGATTTGCTAGGCCTGAGTGTATCAGAATTATGACTGGATATCTCTCTAGGCTTGGATAAATCATAGATAAGGGTCAGTAGATATTTCCACTGATAATAACCTAATCGCTGCAGCTTCTAGCGAAGTTCCAGTAGTATTACATTACAGTAGAAAAATGGGAGAAAAATATTACAACCGGTGATAATTGGCAAATTCTGCAAGAGAGTTGTTATCAATTTACTACCAATTCACCAAACTAGTATTCTGACGTCTCCATCTCTGTTGACACAGACAAATGCAGGAGCTGTGATGCTTACAGACTGCGTCTTCTGGTTCATCATTTTCCCATTCCTCACAGTCAAAGATTACAGTATGAATTTTGTAAGTGTGTTTGTCAATTTCTTGGCTTTTGTATTCATCATATGATTGATCCTAATCAGTTTGCTAACTTGATCCGTGCCTGACAGTTGCTGATTGGAATGCACTCGGTCAACGCTGTTTTCCTGCTCGGCGAAGCATCGCTAAATAGCCTGGTAAGTGGATGAACACTGAACTTGATCACCAAAGCAAGTTGATGCATGCATGGTTTTTTACAGTTTTACTCGCCGTATCTGATTTCAACTTGACACAACTTTTACAGCGCTTCCCGTGGTTCCGGATCGCGTATTTCTTCCTTTATACGGCGCTATACGTGGTTTTCCAGTGGATTGTTCATGCATCTACTCCAACCTGGTAAAATCCCCAGCTTCCATTCCCTCTCCCTAGAGCAGAAATACTGTCTGCATATTTTCCTTTTGTCACTGAACATATGTCATGTGAATTCTGGCAGGTGGCCCTACCCGTTCCTCGACCTCTCCTCTAATCTCGCGCCTCTGTGGTAATTCCATTTACCACCCTATAACATCAATAATTTCCCTGCTTTGTCTGACATAGATTTTATTAACTGAACTATGTGTGATCACAAGCTGAACCTGAACTGAACTTATTGCGTAGGTACTTTGCGGTTGCATTCATGCAACTGCCCTGCTACCTGATCTTCAGACTGGTGATGAACCTGAAACACCACCTTCTCGCCAAGCATTTCCCGGATAGCATGGTCCTAGGATACTAGCATCCGTCAACAAACAACCATGCCGGTCTTCTTCCTTCGACGATCCTCCACGCAAAAAGGCGATGTGAATTGGCAGGAAGAGCAGCAACGGAACAATGGCGGCGTGGCACTAAATTGGGTGGCGTGGTAGTAGATTGTTTGCGAGAAATCTTAGTTTCTTACGCATTTGCGCGCCTCTCCAACAGAAAAATGGATAGGGGAGCGTGCATGTGCATTTACAGCAGTATAGGTTTCGTGATGGTAAATCGGCGGGTCACTGGTGGTAAGAAGAGTTTTTGCAGTAACTGGGGGTGAAAGGAGAAAACCAAAGAAGAATGTGTACATACCTACAGCTTGGTTGATTGGTTGGTGAAATGGAGATATTGTTGGTTAATTGAATTAGTATTAGTATATAACTTGTTTTGTAGATCGGCTGATTGGTCATCATCATCAACTTACCCGTGTGGCTGATGTAATCGTCGCGCGGTTGCATGTTTATGTGCTGGAATAGGACCCTGAAAATGGGGACAAAGCTTGTGAACAGGAAATGGAACACTGGAAGAGGGGGCACAAGCTATATCTATTGATGTGCTTCTGTCTGTGATTTTGCGCTCTTCTCGGAACAGACACAAAAATCGGCTTGTTAGGAAGAATCTTGGGACGAAAAAGGTGGTTTCCTGAAAATTTCGAGCCCTAATGATCGATCCATCCATCGATCATAGCCCGCGTTTGACAAAAAAAGCTTCATCATTCATATGGATCTGACTCGAATTAGCATTAGCTATAGGATAGGCCCTAATGATGATGATGATGAATGTCGGACATGTATAATACTATCTACACTACTATTAAACAAGAGAACATGTTCAGGACGAACGAAAACTCTGCCGTTCCCACGTCCGCACGAGGGAAACAATCACGCTCTTGATTCCGCTCGCAGCTCCCTAACTTTCAGGCTGATTCCAAGTGAATCGTGCCTCCCCGATCCTTCTATCTCTCCCGAGATCGAGGAAAACAGCGCCGCCTCCTCCCTTCTCCCACAATGACGCAACCCCCAATCCTCAGCCGAACTGCCCCGCGACAACCTCCCGGGCACTCTCCCTGCAGCCCACACAACGCCCTCATCGGCGCGCTCTTCGCCAAAGCGGCCCGGAGCGGCGTGCACTGGAAGCCAGAGCCGGGAAGGAGTGCGGCCACCGTCGGGAGACAAGGGGAGGCGTGGTCGCGCTCTTTTGGGTCGGCCATGGAGGCCGCACGCTCCCCCTCGCCTCTCCGGCCGCACCAGTCTCCTCCCAAAGGACGAAGTGGGCGCACGTGTGGCGGTCGCCGGCGAACGAGGTCGCGCGCGAGCCCGCTGCACGGCGGCACGGATCCCTCTTCCCCCTGCCTGTTTGAAATCTGCACCATCTCTGGCAAGGTAATTGCTCTCCTCCGGTTAGGCCCTGGCCTAGGCATGTGCAGCCAGTGCGAGCAATCACCGAGCCATCAGTGATTCGTTGATCCCTATGATTCACTCTCTAATTTGCATTGGTCAGTAAAAGATCCTCCTCTATAAGCGGAGCAGGTTGCTTTGCTTTGTATCCGATCTAATTTGTGCTTTACTTCTTTTTGGGCTGTACTAATTCTCCATATGCTCCACTTGAGAGAGCAAGAGAAGGTTACTCCACTCCATTATGTACTAATTCCGGCAATCAAGGTCAATACATGTTACATCAATCAGGGTCAGTAATCAGTACTACTAATTTCAGAGAAGACCTGTATAGTAGTACTACTCCATCGGCAAGCGTTCGGTGCTAGATTTCTTTCACGCCTGTGTGGTGTTGTGCCATGGTCGCTCTCCCTCCTCCAGGTTTGATTTTTCAAGTTTCATGCCTTTGTGTTTTAAGATGTCATCCCAAAAGTATTTGTAACATGAAAAACCAAAGAAAGAGAAGATTAACACGTGAGTTTGTAAATTCTCAAAAGAAAGTCATTGAAGAAAATTTAGGACAAATATAAGGTCTAATTGGCACTTGAACCGGCAAAGGGCCTCACTTTGTTATCTTGCACAGGGAATCTGGCGTGGCCATGCCTCCGTCCTCCCGCCTTGCCGGCTGCGCGTGTGTGTGCTGTCTGTGCTTGACGCTGCATGCTTGTTGACTTGTCACTGGGTGCTTCTCGCTGCTGCCTGCTGCAGCTGCTGCTGCTTTGCTGCATATATTTGTATAATGCTTGCATCTTGTATGCAGCTATGCTTTGTTTTATACTGACATTGTTGTTGCTGCTACTGACCTGTTGATGTTGTTGCTTACTGCTGTTGTCCTCCTGATGTTGCTGCTGTGCTGGCCAAGGAGTGAGTCCAGAGATACACAACATTCAATTATGAGGATCTGGGAAATTAATGGTCATTCATTCATTGATGATATAAAAAGAGGCATGAAGGCAACGAAAGGGGCAGTATTTTGTTCTCATGTCATCTCGCAGATAGATTATTTGTTTACCATTTTATTAATTAATTATATATACCCACCATACCGCCGTATTATTGTTTGTTGAAATTATTGTATCCCCATTTCCTTATCGCCGTATCCATAACACCGGTGCTTCATAGCTATGAAGCATGAGTCTACAATGATCTATTTTCATGTTCAATCAAGAAGTTCCGTTTGCAATTTTCTTATATAAGTTTCATTTATGACAATAATGATCGATCCATGTTCATAGCTATGTACGTGTTTCACTGGTATTACCATTGTTCATAGTGTAAGCATATTAAATAGTTATATGCTTATTGCACTACAAAGTGTAAACTATTTATTATGTTCCATCATTTGACGGAGCAATGCTAAAGTTCTAAAGTATCAAGTGATTGAATACACTGAAAATGATCACATATGCAAGCTTTGCAAAGTAGAGAACCTCTTATTTAGCCTCCACCATTTTATTGTTCTCCTTGTGTTACTTGGATAAAATGAAATGCATACTATACTGCTACTGCTACTGAGACTTGTCACAATTTCTGTATCCTGTGTTACAATGAGACTCACAGTTCAAAATTCAGGTGGAAGGTAATCAATTTCCTAAGGATAAACTTCATACTTGAATCTATGTTGTGTAATGTGTGACAAATGTGAACGTTGGCAGCGTCTGATTTGTGCCCTTTTAAATTTCAAATGGGGTGATTCCAAAGAAGCAGATTAAACTTGCCCTAAATGCTGTGTTTGGGAGATCGAGCATGGCTTGCATATGCCTTTGCCACAAAATTCTGTTCTTGGGGCTAAAGATCTGCCAAGGGCCATGCTTAGCGATCATATACAAGAACAACTCTTTAACAGCTCAATGAAGAGAGACACGAACGAGCTATTCATAATGGGAAAAGTTTTGATGAAGTTAGTGTTGCCTCATCAATTTACAGAATCTTACGTTTATGGATCCTATGTTTTCTTTTTCTTGTTTATATCTTGGTTTCCTTTCCTGAATATGAAATATGTGGTTTGTGTACTTCTTATAAACAGAGATGTGTTGCTCCTTCTGCATACTTTTATTCCTTTTTTTAGAATTTGATTGTATTTGAGTGTTTTTTTTGCTAGATCCTTGTTTCATGCACGTGCACTTTTTTTGGGGGAATCGGGAGCTTTTCTAGACTGAATAAGTAGAGTTATAGTCAAGTTGAAGGCTGAAAACGAAGCCATAATTCATATTTATCCAAGCACACCTTTGCCGCTCAGGCGAAGCATTTTTTGCACACAGGTGAGCAGCAACATTAGCTGGCCTGTGCACAAGCCTAAATTTAAAACTAGAATAAACTTTACTTAGTTGGTTCACTTCCTTCGGGATGGGGGCAATCACTGGTCTATCTTGAGCATCACTGGACCAAAATAGATGTACCACCTAGCAACAGATTGCTGGTACAAATATATGTACATACATTTGGGTGTATAGCTGGTTGATGTATTGTTTTAATGAGGGTTTGGTTTACGAGTGTGTGCAATCTGTATAAGACTAGGAGTATTGGATGGTTTTGAGTCGGCACTCGGCGGTATGTATTTTGAATGAAGTTTGTGGTACGTATAGGGGTGATAGATTGGATAAGAACTTCTGCTCTAATTACTATGGTGGTGGTGAAATCATGTTTTGCTTGAATTATACTCCCTCCGTTCCTAAGTATAAGTCTTTCTAGGGATTCCAAGAAGGGACTACATACGGAGCAAAATGAGTGAATTTACACTCTAAAACATGTCTACATACATTCGTATGTAGTTTATAGTAGAATCTCTAAAAAGACTTATATTTAGGAACGGAGGGAGTATATTTGGAATTGATCTTAATTTAGTAGATAAATCAATTCCAAAATTCAATAAACTTCTATAATTTCTATAATTTCCAAGAATAGGAGTATTGCTGGTTAATCAATTGATTTACATTAATATCTTAAAAGGGGACCGCACGCATGTCCTGATGCTAAATCTTTTTAGAAAGAAAGGGTTTATGTAATTTTGGTACGATAAAAAATGTAACATTAGTATTACCTAGATCTAGGATATGTGAGTAGATTATTTTAATTTTTGAGCTCATATGTGAGATCATGATAAAATTTGGAATATCATGTTGCTATAACGGAATCAATCGGGATAGTGAAGTCTGCACCAGAATGTTGACCACCTTTTTTGTTTTTTAAGTTAAGGAATTTACAACAAGTCTTTTGCAAAAATAACAATCCTATCCCTTTCTACAATCCCTCTAAATCTTTGTTAGATAAGGTAAGTATTGTATAATAGTTCGGTTTTCCGTGATTTTTTTCATTCCTGTGTGTAAATAGCCTAATATGGGTTCACAATCAATAACATGCTCACCATCAAGAGTAACGATCAGTCGATATGTACTCTTAATTCTCTCTCTTATAAACGTGAAGTCCAAATGCCTACTGGCTGCTTTCAGGTGACTGGAATTTTGAGCCTTCGGCTTGTCGATATGTGCCTGAGAAGTAGGTAAGATGGAGCTAAGGCTGGGATGGAGGCGACACTACCTGCCGCAACATCTCC